TAACATTGTAACAAAATAGTCGATTTGTAGATTGTAACCAAAACGGATTGGCTTTATCTGGTTCTTATCTCCTGAAAACACTATCAGTTTATTTTGTAAAATGATACATTTGATAGATACCAGTTTGCCCATTGTCAAGACCAACCCATCAGGATAACAGGCCAAATTACACCCCGGTCAACATTCTAGTACGCCTAGACTCGTAGGGCAAAGGCCGTCTGACAAAAGAAAATAATCGAACAGTTAGAGAATTGGGACCTTTAAAATACTATCCAGCTTTCTTTTTATAGGAATACTTGAAATAGACAGATTATTCAACTAGATTTACGTCTAAACGTGTAATCGCACTACTCTTTATATCTACTTACGATGACGTTTATATATTTTAGGTCTGTAAGTGGAAATTTTACCGCAATAATTGCCTTATCATTACTAATGAACTAGAACATTCTTATAGTTCATAATTATTTTTCAATGTCACAAAAAGCAGTTTTATTAGGGCTATGCGTCATCCCATATCTTTTGTTACACATCCAAGACAACAAATCCAAAAAAATGTAGTGAATATCGGACTATTAGTTTAATGAACAGGTCTTAAAAATATTCTTAAGGATTATACATAGATGAATCAATATTAAACTGGAAGACTGAATCAGCAATCCATTTGGATTTCGCAACAAACTAGGAACCAAAGACGCCTTATATCCAAGATGTCAACCATAAGAAAACAATAGAAATTCTTAAAAACACCCAATTGGATGATAAAGATATCCACTTTACCGCATACCTTTACTGGAACCAAAAAGCAAATGTTAGGATAGAAGTCTGCACATCGGATCACACCGGAATCAAGAGAGTTGTGAGACAGGAGTACATCCTGTCGCCACTACTATTTAACATACCCTCCGAAAACATACTCAGCGCTCTTGATGATGTAGAGGAGGGTGTAAAGGTAGGTACGCCAATAAATATCCAATACATGGAAGAACTACAAAGCCTACCTGATAAAGTGACACAAAATAGTAAAGAAAATGGTTTAAAACTAAATTCGGCAAAGACTATATTTTATGGTTATCAAGGACGAAGAAATCTAGATATCACCTTAGAGTGGGTCCAAAAGATAACATACCTAGGCTGCTGTCAAGTGAACGACCTGTAGGACCACTCTAAATTAATAAAACCGAAGATAGAAAAAACCGGGTCGGCATTTACTAAAATAAAAAGAGTACTATGCAGACATAAACTTGATCTGGGATTAAGGATAAGATTATTGAAATGTCTTCTCAACTCTGATATATGATTGGACACTAACAGAAGCTTCTATAAAAAAGCTTGATGCAGTCTAGATGTGGAACTGTAGAAGGTGCTAAAAATGAGCTCAACAGAACACATAACGTGGTGGTAGTGAGAAGAATAATGAAAATAACAAATATTAACAAAACAGTAAAAACACGGAAGCATGGGTATTTAAGTCATTTTTTACCCGGATAAATACGAACTGCTTAAGATTATTCTAGAAGTGAAAATCGAAGGGAAACGAAGTCCTTGGAGAAGGAAAATCTGAGGCAATGGTTCAACCAAAGGACTGGATCCTTCTTTAGAGCTGCTGTTAACAGAGTGCGCATTGCGATCGTGTCCCAAGTCCTAGGGTACTTGGTCAAATCATTTTTTTTTTTAAACAAACAGGAAACTTCGCACTGGTAATACAATCTTATTAAGTTTTCCTCTCGGGAATGAGTGGGAAATAATAGTCGTTGTAGGAGAGGGAACAATAAATTACATTATAAGGGTGGATAAAAAATATATATATCTTAAGCAGATGAGCGTTTTGTGTAATAGAACCCACCCCCAGAGAGCTGTAAAAATGAAATTTCCCTCTTACCCCTAGCCTATTAAAACTAAAACATAAAAATTATCATATTAATTCATATGTATTTTAGGTGGTCCTATTTAACCAAAGTATTCATTTAAATTTATCAAAATTTTTATGTATTGTGGTTGATAACCAGATTTTACATAAAAAATTATAAATCAATTTAATTAAAATTATCCGTTTTCCCTGTTAGAAATGCAAATCAGAAGCCAAAAATTCATTTCAAAACTGCCTTGAGGTATTAAAATTTCTAATTTATAAGGCGGGTGTTATCTACCGAAACTTGCCCATGGAAAAAGCGTTTTGAGGTAAAGATAGAACAGAAGGTACAAGGTCTTCGTCCTTTGACGAACAAGAACAATTTCCACGTCTGGACCAATTCAGTCCAAGGGCCTTTGACAAGCACCTGTTAAAAACGATTTACACATGTAAGGTAATTTTTTTTATTGTTTAATCATGACGAACATGTACTTTAAAATTTAAATTATTCAGCATTTAAATATATCTACAGTTCAACTACTAACATTGGCCAAACAAGATATTAAATTTTAAGGTGTATACTTTCTTTTTATCTGTTGATTTTTTCCACATAAAAGCATAACATTTAAATCTATAATAAATTTCTGAAAATTTTGCAGTAGTGCTGCTAATTCTAAAAGTACAAGCCCAAGTGGGCTAAAATGTGAATTGTGTTTGTTAGATTTCTATCTTTGAAAGCTCGTGTGAAATTTCAATAATGAAAAAATTTAAATGCTATATAAAAGTAATTAAATCATTGATTTTGCAATTAATGCCAAATAGCAAGTTTAATCATAAATACTAGACAGACTATTTTCAAGGTCCAGTGATCTAAGCACTGCTGAAAAAGTAAAAAACCCTACACCCTACTAAAGCTATTTCCACAATGTTTGTTTTGATGAATGCTAAACATGTTTTCCTTGGAAAATAAATTTTTAAACTATTTATGTAAACATTTGAATTTTGCTCATGTTCTGCTCAAACTGGAAGTAAAAATTGTCTTATGTCTTTATACGGTATTAACCATCGGCATAAATACAACTACATATATGCTGAATTTCTATTACTGAAAACCAGTAGTTTTACAATAGTACAGGTGACACTGGAAGTAAAAATAGTATATAATAATTTAATAATTGGTGTATTATGTGACATTAAAATTTAAATGGTTTTCCTAAATTGAATAAAATGAAATTGAGAAGTCTGTTTGATCTCTATAAATGAAAACACAGACATTCTGCATAAACATTGCTATGAAACCTTAGAAAGGCAAGAATTTTTGATTTTAAATCGTTGCTAATATGTTACATTAAATTTCAGGCACTGTTTTTAAACCAACAATAAATGATTTTTGTTGGATTTACCAAACCATAATTTGAAAATTTTAAATGCCTATACAAGATTAAAACACTTTTTTGGTTGTTTTAACTATTGTCTCATATTAAACTTGTATCTTGACTTCCAGTTCTGAAACTGACATTAGTTCGGCTAGAAGTAGAAATAGTTCCTTATTCATTCAATATTGAACATAACTTAAAAAATCAAAATTGACTCATCATGTTAAACTTGTTCTTTGAACTTATATTTCTGTGTAAAAATTTACACTATTAATGTTATGTGACATTAAAATTGAGATGGTTTTTCAATACTGAATAAAATCAAGTGGAGAAAAGTGATTGATTTCTGCCTCTAAAATCCCAGAACGAAAGCTTAGAAATGGCAGGATTTTAGTTAATTTTATAGTATGACAAAGCGAAAGCATAGCACTTCACACTAATAAAAAAAAGATGTTTGTTAGATATCTAAATTAAAGAAAAAGATCAAACTTCTGACCCATTTTTGTAAAATTTTACATTAATGCTTGTTAATTGGAATATTTGTTTTGGTACAAGAGTTGGTATTGTGTGATATTAAATGTCAATCGTTACTAAACTCGAAGATGATTTTTGTTGGATTTGTCAAGCCATGATCACTTTCTTGATTGTTTAAACTATTGCCTCAACATACGAAACCTAAATCTTGAACTTCTAATTCTGTAAAAATTTACAATAGTTCTGCTATAAGTAGAAAGCCACATATTTTTGCCAATATGTTACGCTTATAATTTAATAAACAATTTGATCATTTCAATTTGCTATCCAAGAATAAGACACCTTAAAAAAAGACATCTTATTAAAAAAATAAAATGTTCACTTGTAAGCTATAGTTTTTTAACATTTGCTACTATCATGACATTGTATCATTCAATGTTCAATTTGCCATAATTCGGAAAATTTAACTTACTGTCCAAGAATAAGACACTTTTTTGATTGTTGTCAACCATTGTCTCAATCATGTTAAAACCGTATCCTGAACTTCCATTACTGTAAAATTCACACTAGTTCTGCTATGAGTTAAAATAAAATGTTCACTTGTAAGCTATAGTTTTTTAACGTTTGCTACTATTATGAGATTGTATCATTCAATGATCAATTTGCCATAATTCGTTAAATTTAAATTACTGTATATGAGTAAGACACTTTTTTGTTTTCAACCATGGCCTCCGTATGTCATGTTATTATTATTATTCAAAATTCGATTCGCCTCAATTGGAAAAATCATAATTGTTTTATACTATTATCTAATTATGTAAAACCTGTAGCCTGAATTGGAAATGGTTGGTAAAATTGGAATTTTACTAGAAGCAAAATTAATCACTTTGTTCATAATAAATCATATTTTTTGGCATCAAGCTTCTGAATGTTTGTCTAACTTTAATAAAATAAATTATTGTTGTTTTTTATTGTAGAACGGGCAAACGGACAATTCTTAATGGACAAAATTGAAATTTTTGTGAATTGTGAGATCCATGCTTATAAATTTAGAAAGGGATCCTTAATCCTGAAAAGGGCTTTCACCGGCTAAATAAAATTCGACAATGGAAATCCCAAAAGCCTGACTGACACGAGGAGGAAAAAGCGTAGACAGAGACGAAAAGTAAAAGTAAAAATGAGGAGAGGTGCAGTTTTGGAGTTATAACCTAACACAAAGGCCGTGGGGTGGGATTTTAAGAAAGAAAAGTTTATTAAGTTTAATAGATTTTTTTTATTTTTTTTAAATAAAGACTCACCTAGTCTGAGTTCGCCGAAGTTGCCGCAGCCGATTTTCTTGCCGACACGGAAATTGGGTCCGACCATTAAAACTCCGGCACTGGATTGAACCGTGTTGGCGGTGTGCCGACGTGAGTGCATCGTCGTCCTTTGAAATTCGCCCATTTTCTTCTTTCCTTGTTCTTCCTTGTCGTGAGCCGTCGTCTCCCTGCCTTCCCTCTTCTGCATTATGCCGCTTCTCGGTCCGACAAGATCGAAAAATCAAAACTGGGAAGAGAACAAAACGGGAAGAACTTCAAAAAAAAAAAAAACGGAGCGGTAAACAAAAAAAAGGAGAAAACGAAAAGGAGAAGAGTTTATAAAAATCAAAAGAGGGAGTTTCTCGTCGAACTGATGAGCCCGATCCGGCCTGGGCTAATCGCGAATCTCACTTCTGACATTTTCACGGAACGGAAATATAACCACAACCATCACAGGTACACATCCCCCTGGTTTATTTTCCCTTAGCGCGGACGACGGACGAGTGTCGGGACCGAGTGACGGATATCACATCACAACGGACACTCGCGAACACATCACCAGCCCGGGACCCGTAATAGAAAAACTCTTTTTATTTAGAATTTAAATGGAATAAACCGTCGGGACGTCGTGCTGCTACCTCCATTATTTCTCGGACTCGGGCAGACTTCACCCCCACCACGGGCCGGCACGAGAGGGGCGGATGTCGGCCGAATCGAAACCGGCCGCACCACCGTCGCCGCCGACGCCACATCGATCCACTCCAATCGAACCGCGTCCGACAAACATCGAATTATTTCGAATTTCACGTGACGAAAACTCTTTCACTACAATTAACAGATTTTTTTTTATTTTAAAATAAAATGTATTTATACCCGAAACAAATTTATTTAAACCGCGAATTTGACCACCAACTCCTGATAAATACGACCACCGTCATTTCAGTTCGGATTACGCAAATCCTTCCGTTCTGTATCCCGCCCTAACCATTTTACTCAAAACAGCAAGAATAAACTTTATTGTACTAGTCCCCTAAGTACATTTAATTTAATATTTTATTGGCCAGTTTGCATCAAACTATTTTGTCAATCAGCTCTGTCTAGTAATTTTCTAATTGCGAATGTTTTATCATTCACATTTGAATGATAAAACACATTGAAAAAATTTGAAATTTCTTTCACATTTGAAAAAAAAAATTAAATCTTTGGCAGGCAATGTGCCAACATACCCAATAAATTCTCAAATCCAGAGTTTATACTAATTCAAAGTGTGTTTTTGACATAAAAATTTAAAAACGAAACATTTCCAAAAATGATAGATACCAGTTTTGCCATATATGTCTTTTATATATAGTTGTAACTATGTTTTTCCTACACTACACCTGCGAACATTAGGGTGAAAATGAATTTTCTGTACTGAAAAGGAGGCAGGCAGCCTCGAAATTAATAGTTTTCGAAAATTGGTTGGCTGTATCTGTTCTATTGAAAAAAAGAAAACTCCACAATTATTTTTAAAAACCCAAGTCCTTTTTTATTGTAAATTTATTTTAATATTTTACGGGCCAGTTTTTATCAATCTACTTTTGTTGATCAGCTCTTTCTTGTAATTTTCTAATTGTGAATGAGTTTTATCATTCACATTTAGAAGGTGTAAAGATGTTTAAAAAAAATTAAATCTTTGACAGGCAATGTGTCAACATACCCAATAAATTCTCAAATACAGAGTTTATATATAAACATTTAAAAACAAAACATTTCCAAAAATTATAGATAACATTTTATCCATATATANTATATATATGTTATATATAGTTGTAACTATGTTTTTCCTACAGTACACCTGCAAACAATAGGGCGAAAATGAATTTTTTGTACTGGAAAGGAGGCAGGCAACCTAGAAATTAATAGTTTTCGGAAATTGGTTGGCTTAATCTGTTCCATTGAAGAAAAGAAAATACAAAATTATTTTAAAAACCCAAGCCTTTTATATTGGAATTTTAATATTTTATTGGATTGTTTTTATCAATCTACTTTTGTCAATCTGCTCTGTCTTGCAATTTTCTAATTGTGAAAGCGCTTTATCATTCACATTTAAAAGGTGTAAAGATGTGTTTTTGAAAAAAATTTAAATCTTTGACTGTCAAGTCAATGTGTCTTACATTACTTTTATTGATAAACGTACATTGCCCTGAGGAAGGCCAAATATAGAGCCAAAATCTTGGCATATGTATAAAAAGTGTATCAATTCAAGGGCCACATACCCAATAAATTCTCAAATCCAGAGATTAAACTAATTCAAGGATCTATCGTTTGCTAGTTTCCCCTTATGCAATAGGCAATAGACTAAAACTTATAAAATATTTGCATTTATTTATTAAAATTTTACATTGACTCATTGAATCAAGAGGATTGGTTTGATTGTAATATCAGAAAAAATGTATTAGCAAACATCTCAAAAACTTTTTTTTTTTTAATTTAGCCATAATCTTTCTGAAGGTATAATGTTACAATGTCCTATTGTTTACACATTCACGATCCTGAAGTTTGTCTTTTTGATATAAAAATTTAAAAACGAAACATTTTCAAAAATAATAGATAACCTTTTTTGCCATATATACCTTTTGTATATAATTGTAACTAAGTTTTAATACACCTGCCAATATTAGGCTGAAAAGGAGGCAGGCAGTCTCGAAATTGATAGTTTTCAGAAATTGGTTGGCTCTATTCTGTTCTATTGAAAAGAAGAAAACTACAAGATTATTCAAAAAATCAAAGTCCTTTTGTACGATTCAACCACCATACTACCACATTACCATACTGTAGTAAAAACTGTACGTTTTGCAATATATAATGGATATTTTTAAAAATTACTTATAAAATGTTCTGTTTTTAAGGAAAAATTTCAAAAAGGAGGAAATCCTATAAGATGATATATCCTTACAATCTGTAGAATTGTGGAGGTGTTTTGGCCTATATGAATTTTTTATATTTTGTATATAAATTGTAAACAAACATTCAACTATCCTTGATTCATCCACGATTCATTGATTATATGGAAAATTCATCAAAACAATATTTAAAAAATGCAATCCTAAAAACTGAGCTAAAATGCTTAAAAGCCTGTGACAAAATTCTTGAATAAGGGGGCGTTTGTAAGAAGTTGGAGCTTATTTTAAAGTATTTTGAAGTTTTTGTTTTGAATTGTCAATTGTTGTGCTAGAATTTTAATAGGAAAACCTTTCAGCCTACCCAGTGAGCCTAAATTATTTTATTGCGTTGGATTTTTTTATTTTTCCCCAGTATATATCTATTTATGTTTATTGTATATGTCGTTATAGTATCAGGAAATATTTGTCGTTGGATTTTTTTATTTTTATGAGTGTTTAAAAGTTTGTTCAAGTCGCCTATGTTTACGAAGTCCCAAAGAGGGCTTTGAACTAAAACGAAGTTCCCCCTCGGTGCAATCGATTTCGATATAAGGCCGTGGGATGCGATTTCTCGACGGAATCGAACCGCCGCGGATGAATACAAACCGGGTAAGGGCGACGAGGTCGAATTCGCGTTTCAAGATAGTTTAACGGCTGAAATTGGCTTGTTACACCCTAAGTCCATGTGCTTTGGCGGCCCTCACGCGACCCTGGCAGACAATCCCAGTTCCATTGAGGATTACTTTCACGTCTTTTCGATGTTTTCGAATGCCAGCTGTTCACTGAGTTTACAAAATTTTGACAACGGCCGGAAGTCGGATTTGGGATTTTTTAGTAGTAAAAAAATAGAATGACTCACCTTGAACTCCTTTGAATATATCACCTCGGAGGAAGCTACAAAAAATTTTGTACAGTTTTTATCTCGGTTTTTTTTTGTATAAAAATAAAATTTACATCACTAATTTTTAAAATGATTGAGGAAGAAAAAAAAATGAAAATTACTATTAGTCTATTGTTAAACTAATATAGCTGAGATATTGTTAAAAATCGGGCTTTTTTTCTATCTACGTGTATGGCACGTCAGCTGGGGTTGCCATGGCAATTCAAGAATGGTTTGTAAACTAGTAGCGGACTAACGGTTCTTTTTGGACCGACAAACGTTTTTCCCTTTTTTTAATGGATACTTTGGCCAGTTGTTTATTGCAAGTTGTACTCGAGATAAAAGAAGGTAACGAAATCATTTCCCCAAGAATAATTTAGAATTAATTGTTTGCCTACATTGTGTAACCATGGTATTCGTTTCTGACAGTTCTCACTGACTTTGCCCCTTCTAGAAATTGACTGCTGATAGACTTAAACAACATCGTACATAATTTGATAGGCTGACTTAGGTTTAACATAAACCAGTATAAATAATTTTATTATATGCTTACTCCATAACTTGTTGGCCAACTGTTTTTGTTTTCGAGGACCTATTCTTAATGTTGGTTTAAAACTGTATCTGAGGATTATTGTAATCCAAAGCACTTATATGCAAAAGTATATGGTCAGGTTTGGTGTTCAGAACCAAATAATATGACTGCACGCTTATTGCCTCACAGTTCATCGTCTACAGTCATCCTGGTCTGGTTTGTTATTATTCCTAATAAGGATGATGGGAGATGATCAGCATACAGGAAAATCACCTCAACACAATATCTTACTTCTGCTAAATATGAATTTCCATGTGGAAGATATTCTTGACAACTTATTTCATTGTTTCTCATGAACTAGTTGCAGGTTCGTTACCTCAATAATTTTTGTTCCTTTTAAACACAAATCCATTAAAAAAAATTTGGCCTGATTTATTTGCTTGTGATTAACTGCCTTATGTTCTGATAATCTTCATACCTGAGTGTGACAATAAGGATCGGTGAAGATGTTTCAATCTAAAAATCATTAAATCAATCAGATTTAAGTTGTTTACGTTCTTTAGGTTCTGCGATTATTGTTTATGCTAAATTTGATCTGAGGATTATTATTAACCAAAACACTTCATATGCAAAAAGTTATGGTCAGGTTTGGTGTTCAGAACCAAATATACGACCGCACGCTTATTACCTCATAATATCATCAATGGTCATCCTGGTCTAGTAATCAGGATGTTAGGAGATGATCTTTTTTAAAAAAGAAAGAAAAAATAACATCTTTTCTGTGTTAGGAGATGGTCAATGTACAGGAAAATCACCTTAATATAATATGTTAATTCTGAAAAATATCAATTTCCATGTGGAAGATATTTTTGACAACTTATTTAATTGTTTCTGATGAACTAGTTATAGGTCCATTACCCCAATAATTTCTTGTTTCTTTTAAATACAACGCCATAGAAAACATTTGGCCTGATTTATTCGCTTGTGATTAACTCTGTCTTATGGTCTGATGTTATAATCTTCATTCCCGAGAGTGACAATAAGGATCAGTGAAGAAGTTTCAATCTAAAAATCATTGAATCATTCAGATTTATGTTGTTTGTGTTCTTTAGGATCAACTATTGTTTAAGCTAACTGGATCTGAGGATTATTATTAACCAAAACTCTTCATATCCAAAAGTTTATGGTCTTGTTTGGTGTTCAGAACAAAATATACGACCACGCGCTTATTAGCTCACAGTTCATCATCTACAGTCATCCTGGTCTGGTTTGTTATTATTCCTAATCAGAAATCACCTCAATACCATATCTTAATTCTGCTAAATATGAATTTCCATGTGGGAGATATTCTTCGCAACTTATTTCATTGTTTCCAATGAATTAGTTAAAATTCATTACTTCAATAATTTGTTGTTTCTTTTAAATATAATTAAATAAAAAACATTTGGGCTGATTTATTCGCTTGTGATTAACTATGCCTTACATTCTAATGTTATCATCTTCATACCTGAGTGTGGCAATAGGGATTTCAATCTAAAAATCATTAAATCAATCAGATTTGAGTTGTTTGGATTCTTTAGGACCTACGATTATTTTCTTTAATTTTATTATTATTATTTTTTTTTTTTGACAGGGGCCTCTGACAGCTTGGTCATTTTAGCCCTGAAGCACTAGCGAAATACCGCTACACACTCTATACACAATCACACCAATAAATACATTCATACCTATATACATTGATTGCACTCATACTGTTTGGTAGATGGAGTACTCGATATTCCTCCATCTACCTGCTTACTATAATAAACTAATCTAAATTGGGGTTGATGGGGTATTTTTATAAAATTTCTGCCATCGGCCCAAGTCTTACACACAACCTGAGAGGTGATGGAGAAACTGCTTTGCCATCAGCCACTGCCCATTCACACCAATAAATACATTCACTCATATGAGACACAGAAACACAAAACACATATTTTGAAGGCATATACAATTGAAAATTACCAATTCCCCTAAAAAGTGGAACAGGGGACCCTGAAACTCGCTACCGTGTTCGAGAACTCTTCTTAAATCCGGCAGCACGCCTACATGCTCTCTGTATGGAGCCAAAGCATGACACGCCTCTATTATGTGGGACACATCGAGCCTACGAATATTGTTTATGTTAAACTGTATCTGAGGATTATTATTAACCAAAGCACTTCATATGCAAAATTATATGGTCAGGTTTGGTGTTCAGAACTAAATAATACGACTATAAACTAGTTACATATTTAGACTACTCACTTATTACATATCGTTCAATATTTCAAGTTCATCGTCAACGGTCATCCTGGTCTGGTTTTTGTTCGTACCCTGAATAATCGGGATATGATCTAGTTACAGATTTATCACCTCAAAACAAACATTCTTCAGTACCTACTAAAAAAGTCCTCTTACTGTTAGTTTAAGCTAAACTGGATCTGAGGATTGCCATTAACCAAACCAGTTCATACCCAAAATAATTTGGCCAGGTTTGAGATTCAGAACCAAATAACTACCACAACCTTATTACTTCACAGTTCATAATCGATCGTCATCCTGGTCTGTTAATGTTTGTAACCAGGATGATAGAAGGAGATCTAGTTACAGTTTTATCACATGAAAACAGCATCCTTCCAGACCTATTCTTGCTGTTTGATTAAATTGAACTGGTTCTGAGGATTTTCATTAACCAAACCACTTCAGATGCAAAAATATATGGTTGGGTTTGGCGTTCAGAACCAAATAATACAACCATGACTTTACTTCCTCTCAGTTTATCATTTTCGATTATTCTGACCTGTTTGTTATTGTCCCTAACCAGGATTATTGCATATGATCGTAAATTGAAAGACCTTACCACATGGAAGATATTTTTCTTGATATTTCAACTTATTTCTTGTTTCTGTCAAATACAATAATATTTTTATAATTTTGTTGTTACCTTTCCTTGCTGATTTGGTGTGGCAGATGTGTTTCATTGTTTATTCATCTTTAGTGTGAAATCACCCCACACAGAGAAATTGTACATTTTATTTATTCATTCTTATTGATTGACTCAAAAATAAAGAATGCAATAATTTCCTATGAAATTTCTGTGTCAAATACATTTATGCCATTTATGTAGGGTAAACCATGCCTTCAGTTTTATTTAGACAATTTTCTCTATGTGAAGGTGTTTTTCCAGTCTTTCGTCAGATATTTTAACAAAATTTGTGTTACATTCTAAAATTGAAATGACAGTTTCGACCAGTTTGAAATCATTAGTGTTCAGGATATTAATATTAATTGGATTCTTAATTACATACACAAGAATAAGAAAAATTTAATAATCTTTATCGACATTCCTCTTGATGCTTTGTAATTCTTCTTTGCCTGGATTAAACTGAATTGTGATTATTAAGTTTCTTCTACACAAACAGTTCTTAAATTCGTACTCACCAGCCCATTCAGGAGTAAGAAAAATAAAGAAATTTGCTTTTTCAGGTAACGGATTTGGATTTCTCAGCAACCCTTTGGTGATAGTTGCAGCTTTAAGTGGAAACAAACTAGAAAGCGCGCAGATCAACTCATCGATATACCCACAGTTCGACACACAATTACTTTGGCAGACAGATAAAAAATACTTACGAAGGTAAACGTCATTCGGTGAGTTCCGCTGAACCTTGCCTTGCATTCAAAATTTCTTGATGATGCAGGTTAAGAACAGGAAACACAGCATTGAAAATAGAATGTTTTAATGTTATTAATGAACATAAAAGAGACCGGCTAGGATATATTTTATTAAACCTAAAAGAAGCACAAATTATACCAAGAGGAAGTGGAATACCAGTAAATATTTTCACATTTATTATTTAGTCTTTTATTTTTTAATTTGGCTATTGTTATAGGTATTAGAAACTTGGCATAGGCTTCTTGGTTTAAGAAACGAAGCAAAAGCCCATAACCCTGAGCTTCTTCTTATTTTCAAAATAGAAGAAGCTCATGAAAAAGAATTTAATGAAAGAGTAAGTCATATTAATATTGTTTAATTAATTTAACAAACAAGTTTAATTTTTTTAAAAATTTAATAGCAACTTCCTAAAGAATCTACTTTGCCTAAACAAGAAGTAACAATGGCTAAAGGAGACACCATGGTGTTGGACTACCGTTCTGGCTCCTGTTTAGAGATCGGACCATCTGATGGCGCTGAACTTTTTGAACTTAGTGTCAAAATTTTCGAGGCTGGAAATTTATACTCTGTAATAATAAACCTGTGTTCTATTCTTATCAAAACAGTATTTATTTGTAACAGCATGTGTCAGTAAATCTATTTTCTCTAGGTTATACCACATAGTGATTTAGGAACACCAATTCATTTTCAATACTCAATCATGGGGACATCATTTGCCACTGACAACATTGATTCCGATGGGACTACAATCGATGGGGCGATACTTGAGTTGAAAGCCCAGCCTGATTTTCTCTGTGCATACTTCAGAGATTTTCCCCATTTAATTTTTAACTTATATTGCGGAGAAAAAGTTATAGGAATCGCACCAATGGATGTTAAGGTAAGACTTTACACCAAATTTCGTATTGGGATTTCAATAATGAAAAATATACTTTATAGGGGCTAGCAAGTATTGTTGAAGGGAAAGCGGCTGTTGTCAACTCAAAGATACTGATAAAATCACTTTATAAAAAAGAAAATCTTATTGACTCACTCAGTCCTTATTTAGAGATTGAGGTAAAGTTGGCACCCAAAACTCCACCTAAATTTTATGTAAATGAAGCAAAAAGTATGGACCAAGGACCTATTGAATCAGGTGAAACGTTAAATTGGTACATAACTTTATTCAAAAATTTTTCCTGTCCTTATTTTTAATAATTTTTTCTATATTTTGTTTTGAAATCATAACAATTTTAATATTTCTATTCTTATTATAACAGTTAGGTCAAAAGGATGTTAAAAATAAACAAGACTAAGTGTTTTGTGGATCCAGCATTAACATTTTTTTCTTAAATTGAATTAGTTTAAATATTTACTACATAGAACTCAATACAAGAAGCTAAAAAAAGCTTATTCTGTACTAGAGCCATTATGATTTATTAAAAAATATTAGCTACATTCACACTGTCAAGATCTTAACATGGTACTCAGCACTACACTATTGACCCTCACACTATATTTTCACTCCCAAAAAATTTATTCAATCAAAGGCCCTCCTTACATATATTAAAAAGGGGACCCAGAAATTTGCCTTACTCAAGAAAAAAAATCTGAATATAATGTGCTTACTGATTCTCTTACAGTCAGACAAGTGTAGCTTATTTTCTCTCTCATCTTTTTATTTCCCACTTGTATTTTATAAGAATATATTATTACCATTATGCACTAAATAGAGAGATACATAGCTACCTGTTTATTATTGTGCTCACAAAACTTGAATTAAAACAATTTCATTAACTTTTTGGATGATAATTACATCAAATTTTTTGGACAAACCTGGGCAATGTATCTGTCTTTGAATAAAAGAATTAAATAAATGTAAAAATATTAAATTGATCAAGTTGAACATTTTAGTTATTAGAAAGAAAAAGTGATGAGAGTTTTGAACTTAATACACTTTTTTAGGTTCCTATATGAATGTATCCTTTACGAATAAACCCTGTGCTAATGATTGCTCATCCACAGTTTTAACAGGAAGTACTGGTAATTATCAATCAAGGTGAACTTATTCTGGTAAAAGAATTTTCTTTTAATCTTGTACCTTAAGTGAAGGAACCGCAATGATTAATAATCTAGGTACCAGATTTGAGGTCCGGCCTCATTATGTTTTTAATGTAAAAATGTGATATTAACAAAATAAAAATGCAACCCCATGTGTGGATTTTAAACATATGATATTCATAATTTATAAAGGGGTGACTGACAGTGATTATGTTTTGCTTACAGATCCTAATAATTATCAATTTTTTTTTCCCAATGACATGTCGGTCACTCCACTAACTACCTACGAGGATGTTTTTTAGGATTTCCTAAATTTTCATCCTATTTATTACTTTTATATTTATTATGTTTGAATCAAACATCATGCACATATGTTTCCCAAAAATAAAAATACCAACAATTTGTGTACATTTATAAATTAAAAGGATGAGTAAACAATTTTAATGTTTCAAACTTTTCTAAATGTTCATTTAATCACCTTTCTTCATTAGATTTAACCCTTCACTGTATATAAAATTTTGTAAAAACATGCCACTTTTTATGCTAGTATTCTTTTGACAATGACTTTACAAAATGAAGTTTAGATGTGATTGTCTGGCGGTATTGTAACGTTGTTGGAGAAGACAACTTACAGCTGTAAAAACAACACATATGGTCCACCAATTTGAAGATGATAAAACATTCAATGAGTGGACTGTGTGGAGGTAGTTCAAAAATTCAAAAAACCAGAAGAGCTCAATGATATATTAAACTCACTCCTATTGGAAATACTAGATTTATCTTAGAAAAGTGTGAATCTTGACTTACTCAATTCAGAGAAAGTGAAAAAGGACTTTTTGAAAAGTTCTACAAATGCATAAAAATTAGTGCAGAAAATTTTTTTGTTTACAACAAAGTCCAAGGCGAGTCAGAGTTGGCCTTTAGATAGTGATTAATCAAAGTATGATGAGCCATTTTTCCACGATTTAAAATATAAAGTAAATTTATTTTAACTTTTAAAACAGTCATTTTTTTACTTACCCTTAAAATAACCCTAGTTGACAGCTTAAAAAAAAAAAATAACTGCACAATTTTTAAAATGATGCATCTAAATTATACTAGATATTTGACTATTGTTTTTGCATAGGTTTCATTTTTGACATTCTGAAAACATGTTTTCAGGTGATGCATTGACATCAGTCGGGCTTGACCCTACAACCGCTGAAAGTGATGACAGTAATGCGCAAATGAGCAAAAAAATAACTGTGGAGTGGTTTATGAAAAAGCCGATTCAGCTAGCGTCTGGTGCACAGAAGGAATGTATTACAATGGAGCCCCAGAAGGTACTCTAATTCAGTAAGGGCCAATGAATGTATTTTTCTTATTCAAAGACCAATTTTTTATTGTTATTTATTGTAAATAAATTATTTGCTTTTAAAAACTTTTAATGAAGCTGTTTTTGTGCTTTTCTTAACTTGGTTTTGTGTTCATAAAAGCTAAAAGAAGTGGAAGAACCAATTAAAGCGAAGCATCATTATAAAATTGAAGAAAAGGATTTTAAAGAGAGTCACAGACTGAGGCAGGATATGGACGGTGATTTCAGAGGGAAAGTAATTGATCCAACCTCAACAAAACCAAATGTTTCATACATAAGATCTTCACCAACCTACTGTGAAACTGGTACTTCCACAAGCCCCCCCAACATGGGCGTTTTAAGGTCTGGCGTTGGTGGTAAGGTCTTATAAAAATAACCTTACGAATTACTTTCTATCAATAATGATAAAATTAATTTTAATGTTTGTTTGTAGATATTCTTCCTAGACAGTATGTTAGGGAGGCAGCTCATAAAATATGTGAAGAACTTGAAGACTGGAAAGAAAAACAGCAAGAAATCTATAAATTTGAGGTATCCTTATTTAAAATTACCCTTGCATTTTCAATTATACAATATTAATATTATTGTATGTCATTTCTTATTTTCAGCTGAATCAAAAAGCAGAGAAACGCTTAAAAAAGCTCTCTTCGGAGTGGATAAAAAGAAGGACTGAGCTTGAAAATGAATTTAAAACAAAAATAGAAGAATGCCAAAGTTTTAGAGATCGCTTGGAAGAAACTCTTAAAGAGCTGGCAACACGGACTGAGGTCTTAAATATTAGAGAAGAGGAAGTAAGTTTTAGCTAGGCAACCTCTTTGTAATTTTTTCACTATCCTTGGATCTGGTCATCATATATGTAAACATCTGAGCTCTCCATCATCATGAAACATTGCTTTTAGTGTGGCATTTCTCCTTGAGGACTATAGGCTGAAACTTACATTTTAACTTCTCACATGTTTGAAACCAACATTATTTATATGCAAATTTTGTTTTTCTACAAATAGTACGCCGAATTGTTTCCATTCAAATTTGTTCATTTCTGTATAAACTTTAATTCAAATAAATTTAATTTGAATTTAATTTACATACAACTAGTTTTAGAGTAAATGACTACAATTTTCCAATAATAAGAGGACGAGCAAAAACACTACAACTTATTATAGTATACAGATGGATCTATAATGAAATGTGGAGGGGTCAAAGGCTCAAATTTTGGCCTAGCAAAACCTCTAAACCCAATATGATCAATTTTCTAAGCCGATCTATGTAATAGAACTCTGTGAACAAGAAATAGTTAAAAAATAAATAAAAGGTGCACAGATAAACATATTCTCAGGACAGACAAGCATAACAAAGGGCTCTAGACTCCTCCACCTTCAATTCAGAACTGGACTGGGAATATCAAACATATCTCCAGCTCCAAAGGAAAAAAACATAGAATGTGGGTATCAAACTGGTATTGGGTTGGTTAAGCCATTTGGTCCAGAAACACATATTTGCCCAAAGCAAGGTAAAAACTGAACAAATGGTTGGAGAAAGGACTACATTGGATGAATTCACCAGGTGGTAAACAATCAAAGATTCTCTCAACCAGAAAAACAAAAAATTATATTTCTTAATTAAGAAAAATAAAAAATAATAGGCCTTGATGGCCAATACCGATTCAAAACCACCTTTAAAAAAATAATAATAATTTTTTGTTTTAAATTAAAAAAACCCTCTGATAATGTGACAAAGTCTGTCGACTCATGAAGGGGCAGAAGCATTGGAACATGTTCTAAAATACTAATGCATAAAGAAATAAATGAAAAGAAACCCCAGAAAGTGCTCAACTATCTTAGGGTAGTGCACTTTTCATGGTTTGGAAATAAAGAAGGGTCAATTCCAAATTGATCTTAGGCTTGAGAGACTCCACAGCAATACGTTTAACTGCAATATTTAACATATATATATTCAAGATCTTGCCAGGCAATTTTTTTTTCAGATTTTAAAAGTGAAAGAGGAACTTGATCGAAAGTACACTATAAAATTTCAAGAGTTAAGAAAAGCCTCAAAACTTCATCAGTATGATATGGAAGACAAGGTATTGTTTTTCTATGAGAAAAAAAATGTTTATTTTATACACTTTTTTTTTCAGATAAGTCAGATCATATTGGAGAAAAATGAGCTTGAAAGACGGTTAGAAATAAGAGAGAAAGAGTTGGCTCGGTTAGAAGAAAGCCTCATGACAACATCAAACAGCCAGATTTCCAAATCCCACACAAACGGCTCTCATAGCGACCTTGTACATAAGACCCTTTTGTTTTATCACTTTTTTTTTTTTTCAATTGAGCTTGTAGTTTCACAAAAACGGCTTTGTTTTAGAAAACTCTCCAGCAAAGCTTAGAACAGGCTTTGCAGTCTAAAGCTTTTTACAAAGAGCAATGGGGGAAAGCGACAAGGGAGCTGCACAAACTTAAAGAAGAGGAACAGGAAAAAATAAAAATTGAGTTTCAGAGGAATAGAGAAGAATTGCAAACTCTAGGGTAATTTCTTTCCCAAAATCTCCAAATTATTTTAAATGTAGTTTTTTAAAGCTTAAACAATGAAAACCAGCTGAGGTAAGAATTTGTGTGTTAGGTATTTTATAATAGCCTAGCCCTTATGTTAACATTGAAATATTCATATACGTGATACTCTCAAATCATTGGCTTCTACATTAACATTTCACAGTTAAGTCAAGTCTGTCATATTTTTGTTTTTAATTGATCTACCAAACTTGGCAAAACACAGATCTAAGTACGATGCTTTTTCTCCAAAAGCACGTTACAAATCATGAATGAATTACATTTTAATTTATTAACATTGCATATTAATTGTATAAATTGATTGCAGACATTTTTAAGTTGATTTTTAGCTACTACTTTTCCAAAATCAGACAATATTTGTTAATTAAAAACCATTTTAAGAACTGCTTTATAACTCTATTTACCAGGAAAAATAAACAAATCAGCACAGGATCCGGAAATGCCATGGTTATTTATTTTAATAAAATTTCAAGGCATACAGAATCTATTGGATTAATTTGTTGTAAAATTAACTAAGGAGTCTTCAAGTTAATGTCTAATCAAATTCTGTCTGTTTTGTTCAAATTCATAAATCAATTTCCAAAAAGTACAGAAGGGTTCTAAAATAGTTTTGTCAGTATGATAATTATTTTTATTGTCTGTAATAAGTAAATCTAGTCTTACAGTGTAGGTCGACCACTGGTGAGCACAGGTCGAGGATCTCAACAACGGCAAATGTAAATCGGTCGGGCAGCTCGTCATGACATGCCGAATTTGGTTAGGAGATGAGAAGGTCTGATTGAAGATGTTAATGGGATCAGCACTGACATGACCCAAGTCATTAAACCAAGACTTATTTTAGGATGATTTGCTTTGTAAATTGTTAGAGCAAAACTGATAAACTTGGAAAAGAAGTCGTTTAATTGCCTTGCATAAAGTTCAACTAGTGTTATAAATGATATTTGTTATGATAAAAAAGAAATTAATGGCTTCTTTGTGACTATTATAATATGAAATAAACCCAAAAATTACACCCACATTCTGTAGGAAGTTATTTAATTAGGGGAGTGATTTTATTTTCTCTTTGACTCTCTAATGACAAAAACGGTGCTGTAAATTTTCAAAGTTTCAATATTTCTCCATGTACATTATCCTTTGACAAAAATGTAAATTAGTAGCAGATAATTAAATATAGCCAAAAAATGTATGGTGTTTAGTGATCATTAGTTAATGATTATTCGGAGATCATGAGATGCGGTCTGGTGTGACGGTTTTTTTTTTTTTTTTTTCTTCATATCCTACATGTATTTGTAAAATTTAAACAATGTTTATAAATCCTAGGCCCTGAAGATGATCTCAATAAAGATTGAAACATTGGCACGATAAAGAAAATGGTTTTCTAAAACCTACGTCACACCAGACTGCATCTCACGATCTCCGAATAATCATAGTCAAAAAATTTACTCAGGAATAAAGTATTGTGAACATTATCCCTACCTACATAGTCATTGTTGTATCTTTAAATTTATAAGTATATTTTTTCAAGTATAAAAAAGAAAACAAAATACCTTGATAACTTAATTTCTATAAACTCTATTCCATTTTATTACATATTTGACCAGGAAATCATTGAATATGTCCCTTAAGTCATAATTCTTGCTGCATTTTTTTTTTTTTTTTTTTTTGAAATCTCAATAAACAATTTATTTCTATGATGCCAGTTTTATTTTTTGGTTTTTGTTTGCTAATTTCAGACTTGTGCAGGAAATAACTGATGAGGTTGGTGAAATGAAAAAAGATCAAGATGCCATAAGGAACATTCGTAGTCAAATTGAGAAAGCGTACACTTGATGCAAAAATGTAATGATGTTATATTTGTTGTACACACGGGAGTAAAATCATTGTTAATAAAAATTTAAAAATTGTCTGTCAAATAATGTTTTATTTTTCCTCAGAGATTTTATTAATTATGTTTCAGTAAATCTAAAGATTTAGTGACAGGTACAAGTGTTATATGTGGGGCTGTGGTGGCCGATAAGATAGGGCTGGGCATGTTGGCTCATCCTGGACCTCCCCCCCCCCCAAAAAAAAGTTTAAAAACTATCTAAAACAATCATTGAAAACTATTACAATAGTATGAAGATTTGATTTTGGTTTGAACTTACGGTCACCTAGGAATTTTCTGCTGTTTAAATCAAGTCATCTCTAGCTAATAAGCCATTTATTTTTCTGGTCAGAAAAAGCCATTTTGGCCTAAACCAAAAGGATAATTTCTGAATTTATTTATCTTTATTTTTCTCGTTAAAAAAATCCATTGTGGTTTATGCCGAAATGACTTTTTGAGATTATTTACCTTTATTTTCTTGCCAGTGAAATCCACTTTGGCCTACACAAAAGAACTAGTGTGTTGTATGTTTATTTTCCTTATCAGAAAAAGCCATTTTGGTCTATAGCGAAAGGGCAAGTTTTTAAATTAATGTCCTTACTTGTATTTTTCTTGTCAGCCAAGTCCATTTTGGTCTACACCAAAATGATTTCTGACTTATCTTAATTTTTCTTGCCATTTGGTGTACACCAAAAAAATAAGTGGCACCTTTATTTTTCTCATCAGAAAAAAACATTTTGGTCTATACCAAAACGACAATTTCTGAGTGTTTTAATTTTTATTTTTCTTGTCAGAAAAGATGTGGTCTACACCAAAATGACAATTTCTGATTATCATTATCTTTATTTATTTATTTTTTTAAATTCCATTTTGGACTACCTACGTGACAATTTTTAGGTCTTTATGCATATTTTTTCATAAGCTAAATCCACTTCAGTATATATCAGAATGGCAATTTCCTTACCTTTATTTTTCTTGGTGACAAAAGCCATTTTGGTTAAAACCAAAAGAACAATTTTTGAGTCTATTTTTACATGATAATTATGCATAATAAATATATGCCGCTATAATCAAATTTGTACAAACCTTTGGAAAATTAGTATTGAGAGGAAGAAGCAACGAAGGAAAAAATAAATTATATCCAGATATTTATAAATGATGTTTTTAGCATCATAACAAACAAACTCTTCAAGAAATAGCACCACTGAAAGCTATGAAATTACCACCAATTAATGGTGTTTTATTTTTACATAATTTAATGATAAAAAGATTTATAAATGATTTTAATCAATCTAGATAGGCATTTATTAATTACATGTACTCTGAAATACACCTAAATTTTATACCTAGAAATACATACCTAAATTTTATCTGTAAACATCAAAAACATGTTTTGCTTATTTTAAGAAATTGTTTATGAACGTTTAAAAGACTGCAATATATAAATTTAAGTTTAATCATTTGTCCTTTATATTAACTTTTGGTATCAATATAGCATTTTTTAAGAGAAACGTGATTTGCTCTAAGCCTCTTTTCCAACGAAAAGCTCTTAAAACGAATTGCTGGAGATTAAGTTGTAGTTCGTAAAGTTCGACCTGGTAAGATGTTGCTATTGTCTTCTAATATCCTAAGTCCTGTCAATTATTGAAGTTAACAAAGAAAAGAAGATTCGGTCCAAAATGAATAATCCTTCAAATTGGGAGCCAGCATTGGCTGAGTTCTCTTAACTGTCCAGGGGCAGTTCTACTGTTTGCGTGTCAAACATAAGCCAGGCCAGTCTGATTTAAACTTGAATAACTCATATAATAAAATAGAAAACGTGTGAATGTTTGTCTAGGTGCAGAAAGGGTATTTTGATTTTTACCTCCTTGTATTAGAATTTGTTTCATTGGTAACAAGTGAATTAGTCCAGTTATCTCACTGTAGAATTTAGGGATTGTACACACAACTTGACATATCCCATTTTAGCCAATTTTTCTTTCTCTCTCTCTCTCTCTCTCTCTCTCTCTCTCTCTCTCTCTCTCTCTCTCTCTCTCTCCTTTCAAAATGGTGAAATTTTTCTTGTCCTTCAAGCCTTTAAAAATGGCCAAATAACAAAGCTTATTTTATAGAATTTTTTTTTATCATTGTTATTTTCAGATTGTGATATAAATGTGGCTCTCTCTCTCTCACTCTCTCTCTCTCTCTCTCTCTCTCTCTCTCTCTCTCTCTCTCTCTTTCACTCTCTTTCTTCTCAAAAGTGGTCAAAATTCTCTAAGAACTAGTAATAATAGTAATGAGGTTGACAGTATTTCTTAATTTGTTAAACCACACAATTTCACGGCGCTACTATTAGGCTAAACCATCATGAACGGCAGCTCTTGCAAAAATGTAGACGTGTTCGCCGTGATGAGATACATACCACTATAGGTCCTTTTTAGATGGCGCGACTGAATTTCCCTTGAACCAATGACGCTATCAAAAAAACAACAAATGCGTGTTTAATATTGTTTGCTCTAGTATCAAATTTTTACCTTTTTTGGAGAAAAATTATACAAGATACCTCAGGCTCAATTCAACTCAAAATTTCAAATACGACCCTACTATGCATCTTGACATATCGTTTTAAAAAAATTGTTACGCTGAAAACAATGGTGCAAGACGGTTATAAATTGGTCAAAAAGTGACAAAGTGATGGCAAAAAGTTCGAAAAAAACGCATTTCGTTTATTTTTTGTTGATCCCAACATTTTGCTACTTCACTAAAATAAACATTAATTGCCTTTATTTATATTTTATTACATTATTACATTTTTATTATGCCTTTATTACATTTTTTGTCAATGCTTGTCAAACTCGCATTGTGACACAAATCGCAATTCCTGGAAGTAAATAAATTTTACAATAGTATCTATTCGTTACATTCAGTATTTCATCCAAAATGAACCGAAGAGCACTTTTTTCCGATTAACAGCGAGTTGATATGTACTGCTTTATTGACAGTGGTGGTATTGCGCGTCGTGCAGTCGAGTCGTATTCCCAGAAATTTCCTGATCGCTCAAGAGTAAATCACAAAACGTTTATTCGTGTTGCTATGATTATATATCACTGTAATAGTATCACTCTCTGCTTCATATTAAAACACACACACACACACACACACACACACACACACACACACATCTCCGTCTCTCTCTTGTTCTGCTTCTCTTTTTCCTTCGTCTCCTCCTTTTCTCTCTCCTCTAAATTATACATGCATAATATTTATAAAAAACAGGTGAATGTGAGAAATTTTAATGTCGGCAAAATCATAGTATATTGCTCGTTAACTCATCAGCGAAGCAAAACCGGCTAAGTCAAAATTTGGCAAAATGATATATGTATTTTCTAGTGTCTTTAAGGTCTCACAAACTATACAATTGTGGAAAATGAAATAATTAACAATTATATTCAATGTATAGGGTCTTTTTAGACATCTTCAAAAATTAAATCAACATTTCAAAAATTCTACTATTCTGTTTTTAAACTTTAATAACTCATAAAATAAAATAGAAAACGCGTATTCTAATGAATATTTGTCTAGATGCAGAAAGGGTATTTTGATTTTTATCTACATTTATTAGAAGTGGTTTCGTTGGAACAAGTGAATTAGTACGGATATCTTACATGTAAGGGATTGTTTATACAATTTGACGTACCCATTTAGCCAAGCAAATCTCTCTCTCTCTCTCTCTCTCTCTCTCTCTCTCTCTCTCTCTCTCTCTTTCACTCGCTCTCTCTCCATTTCTCGTGGCAAAGTGGTAAAATTTTTCTATCCTTCAAGCCTTAAAAATTGACCAAATAACAAAGCTTATATTATTGAAAAAAATTATCATTGTTATTTTCATATTTGTGATATAAATGTGGCGATTAATTTGAAGAAAGGGGCAACGATGAACAAAACTGTCTTTTCTCCTTGTCTTTCCTTCTTCCGCTTTCTGTTCCGGTACAGTGACTTCCCGACGTGAGAGGAAATTTTTTCAGGAATTCATTTCAGAATCGGATAAAGGTGACGTTCCCAAAGTCGGAGAAGAAAAAACGTTCATTCCTTATTTCATGCCGTCTTAAAATATTTACTGTTTTGTCTCTGTTCGATCTGAACTATTGAAATTACATAAGAAATACATTTGGTTTTATACATAAATAAACTGGTGTTTGGGTTTGAACCAATACATTTCAAAAATTATACATGTCTATTTTTTAACTTGAATTACGGATATGATAAAATACGAAAGGACTATTCTAATGAATATTTGTCTAGGTTCATAATTAGACAACTTTTTTTTAATCTACTTATGTTAGAATTTGTTTCGTTGGTAACAAGTGAATTAGTGCAGTTATCTGACCTGTAGAATTTAGGGATCGTTTGTACAACTTTATCTCTCTCTCTCCCCCCTCTCTCTCTCTCTTTCCTCTCAAAAGTGCTCAAAATTAGCGTATCTCTAGGAACTGGTAATAACAGCAATGGGGTTGACTGTATTTCTTAATTCATGTTAAACCAAACACAATTTCACGGCGTTATCATTAGGCTAAACCATCATGAACGGCAGCTCTTGCAAAACTATAGATCTTTTCGCCGTGATGTGATTGTATTTATACCACTATATTACTTCACTCTCTCCTCCATATCCACACACACACTCTCTCTCTCTCTCATACACACACTCACACCCAAACACACCCTTTCTTTCTTTCTGTTTTTCTGCTTCTCTTTTTCTTCTCATCTCACTCATGCGCTCCTTCTTTTCTCTCTCCTCTCTAGTTCCCTCTCTAATTCTCTTGTTCTAAAACATGTATTATGAATGCATAGTATTTATATATAAAATGTGAATGTAAGAAATTTTAATGTATGCAAAATTGTATATTGCCGATTAACTCTGAAACATCTGGGCAAAACGATATGTGCATATTCCAGTAAGTATTTAAGATCTCACAGACTGTGTATAATAGATTAAGTCCAGAATGAAACCATTTCCATTTATACTCAATGTACGTTTTTAGACATCTTGAAAAATTAAGTCAACATTTCAAAAATTCTACTTGTCTGTCTAAACTTGAAGATCTCATATAATAAAATGGAATATGTGTGTTCTAAAAAAATTAAGTAATTTAAATATTTTTATTAAATATCGTTTTCTGCGTTTGTTATGCAGTATTCTAATATTAATTTATATTAGTCTATTTTTTGCATAAGATTAGAAGATAGTATGCAGGATTTTATTAGATGAGTTTAGATAATAAATGTTACAAAAACAAACAAAAAACGCTTCCTATAAAGTAGACTAAAATATTTTTTATACGAATTCGGATTTGCTAGAAGCTTTAAAAGTCCTTAAATACAGTTTTTGTAACAATAAAAGAATTTTTTTTTGGATGGATAACTGAGAGCATTTTTTTGTATTAAGGACAAGAACAATACTTATAAATATTTTCTATATAAATATTTATAGAGTGTATATATGAAAATACACATTACAAATGTATGTGTATGTTGTTTTCTGTTACAACACCACCGACACTAAGGCCACACTGCACCTGAAGAACGCATTATTTTAAGATAAACGAGCCAACGCTAGCACTCAATATAACGATGAAGGCCGGTGTCATGAATGTTTGGGGCCGGTTTTCATGATAGGCACGTGTCTATATGGTTGGTCAGTGTGGTTTGGAGGAATCAAGAGTTTGACTTCGAATAACATATTGAAACAATCAAATCGGGAAAGAGAGTGATCGGGGTTTTTTCCTTCATACTAAGCGTAAAATTTTCTAAAAACTGAGACTGCGCAGGTCTCTGACTTAAAAGGCTGGGAAAATGTTCATTTCTAAAGTTGGCCATTTTTTGTGCAAAAACCAGATGGTCGATTTTTGGATCGGCAGTTCTGAGAGGCGAAGAAAGTAGGCACCCTTAATATTATTAATTATCTCTTAGACAATCCTCCCAATTGATTTTTTGACAACAATATATGGTCCGTTTTAAAGGATTAAAACACAGATATAATCTCTCACTTGGGTTTACAAATGGATTTTGTAAATAAATCTTTGAGTAGTCAATCTCTTCTTGGATGGTTTTTTTGTAAAGCTTCTTTTTAACGTTCCGGTGGTTAAATTATTTTAAGTTGTACCATTTTTAAGTTTCATATTTGCTGGACTGATGATTTTAAGTGAAACAGATTCGACAAGAATCATAGTATTCTTGGAAGGCGGATGAAGCCAAGCGAATGAAGCCAGAGGGCTTAGCATTCCCAGAACATCTGAAGGGTCTTCCATCGCTATCAATACTGGCACAATTACTCAAGAAATCATGGATCTGGTCAACGTGTCAAATCTCAGAGAGATGATAGTTTTGTTGTTTAGAACAGCTGCGAGACATAGTGAAGATGCGTTATCAGAAGTTGTTCCTTATATCCCACTAATTGGCGACGGTTTTATTTTTATGCTTGATAATGCAAGGCTCCACACAGCTAGGATCGTTGGTGACTACTTGGAACGGGCTTCAGTTCAATTTTTAAGTGGCCAGCATGTAGTCCTGACTAAAACCCCATCGAACACCTTTGGGGCGAGAAGGCAAGGATAATGGCGCTGGTAGAGGAGTTTGAAAATATTCCACACATTCAAACCCTCATAAAATCGATGCCACGTGGAATGCAAGCGGTGATCAACGCAAGCAAGGAATTGGATATTTTCTTCATTGTTTCCATAGCAACATTTTGGATAAAATTGTTTTACTCTTTTTAATTTTTTATTTAGCCATATCTTTTATGTATCTTTAAAAATATCCAGTAAACAACAACAAAAATAAAATTATAACGATTTCAATTATTAACTAAAAAACGAGGGTGGCCACTTTTTTGCCTCTCAGTGTTTATTTGGATTATTTGTAATTATAGTATCTTTCCCTCATCTCCTTTATTGTTTAATAAATTTTTCTGCAAAAATCTGTAAAAATATTTATATAATTGGGTGTTTTTTTAAAGAAACAAACACAACCACTCCTTTATTAAAGCATTTTATTACCCCGATTCCGGGGGGCTTTTCTTCCTGCCACTCTACCTCAATTCAGTTTTTTCCTTTCGCCGTGGTATTTTCTTTTTCGATATTATTGTACTTCAAAAGAAAAATCCATGTGGAAATTTTATGTAAGTAAAAGGGAAAAAAAACATTACTGGAAAGGGGCAAGAAGAAAATCAAATAAAAAGTTTTAAAAAGGAGTGGTAGTCTTTGTCCCTAAAACATATCAAAACAACAAACATATAAAAGAAAAAAAAACTTGAAAACAAAGAAAAGACTACATTTTAAGAGTTAATAGTTTAAAAAATTGCATTGAAATTTGCTACGTAGTCTGTCATGTGAGTGAACTGAATTTTTCTTTCTAATAACTTTCTTCTATAATATTTTTTAACGAAATAGTTGGTAATATATTATTTTATTTAATTGTTTTTTGTATTGCAATATGCGATCGACCAGCCTTTACTATATATTATCTCGTTGATTAGGGTTGTGGTCAGAAAGTTTTTTGTATTGCATTGTGTACTATGTCTGTAAACATATGTTTGATTATTTTCCTATATGTAAAACGTCAATTTCATTATTTATTAAAAACATTTTCTTTTCTATTCTACATTGTTTTATGATTTTAAACAAATATACAGCTTGTATTATATTAATGTATTTAACGTGTAATGCCTTGCTTCTCGTTGCGATTTTTTTTTAACCAAAAATTGATATTTATTTGGAAAAAAGAAAAGAAGGTAACTCAATAATATACTATTGTGGAAAAGATCCGCAACGTTTAAAATCCGCCAAACATCGCTTCACCATTCGCAAACATTGCCGAAGTTGTTTTTGTTTCCGTTTGGATCCTTTCCAGGTATCGATCCCATCCTTGAGAAATATTTCGTCTGTTTTTCAAAAGGCTTATCGCTGTTTTGGTGCTACCGTGTATTGGAATAATAAAAGCCCATAAAGCACAAACGATTGTTTAAAAACACATTTACTTAGCACAGTTAATATGTTGCTTTTTTAAGTTTGAAACGTTGTCACCGAATTTCTTTATAAATCAAGAGGTTATTTGAAATGCAACTTGTGCCAACTTAAAACAAAACATCATTAAACAATCAGTTGAACGATCGTAGAAGGACAACACGGTACAAATTAGATGGCCAAGCTTTCGAAATAAATATCCTCGGTTCAATTGGATTGCATTCTAAGACTAAAGGACGCAAAAAGTTTATCAAAGGACCATTGCAGAAACTAACGCCTGAATTACTAACTCTAGGACGTGTTACTGTAGTCTCCAGAAGCATACGTTTAGAATCGGAGCGGTAAAAACAATTTTACAGATATTGTCAGGAAGTAGCGGAACATGCCATATGTTAGTACTAAGGATATGCAGGCTGTTTTCTACTCCTGGGAAAGAAAAGCCAAGGTTTGAAAAATACACACATAAACTTCTAACAAGGCTTTGGGACCGGATAAAAAGCCTTAAGCTCAACAAAAACCTCTAGATAATATTGAAGGCACAAGAGACAAATATTGGGCGCGGTGAATAAGGTCGTTTCGTTCAAAAGAGAAAATATTTTTAAAATGGCAAAAAAAATTCTTCATCCTTGGTTAAGAATTACCAGAGAACTTTCTTGGTTAAGAAGTTGAAACACGAATATAAAGGCAAAAATCCATAAAAATCAGAATTGCAGACACGTTACCGATCATTGAACCAATTGCATTGCGACAACATAGAGGCCTGGTTGTCAGTATAAATAACATACATCCAGGAAGTGTCCTTAAAAAATCTTTGTAACCACTGGAAAAACCAGTGTTCCCAGAGGTAAGAATGCATAGAGAATCCTTGACAATACTTAACACATTTAAAGGCAATGGATCCAATCAATGGATGTGTGACTATTTTTATGCTCTAGAAACTAGAACGTCAAAGTACGGGTCTATCCACTCATGCCAAACAAATGGGATATAATTTAAGACTAGGTTCTCCCAAAATCCTGACCTTCGCATCCTCCAGCTTTTGCCGCCTCTTCTGCACGTCCGTTGCCTTCCAGCCGACTGCCACCGGAGAAGCTCCAACCGCAGGAAATCTTTCTAACAAGTCCACCGAGAATCTGTCACGGATAGTCAAAACGCTGAGGGAGTCGGTTTAGACGAAATAACCAACATCTCCTTCGTCTCGAATCACCTCGTACCTTATATGTTATTACGTATAGAAAATGATACAACTAAAAAATAGCCATTTATAAGAAATTTATTGATTTTATCAATAGTTTACATTGTAAAACAAATTAAATACAGATTATGCTTTATTATAAATGAAAACATAAACATTTATGGCGATTATTTTTATAACGCCAATTTTTAGTTCGTGTCTTTTCTTGGTTTTCTCGTAATTTTGGGTTCATATCGTTTTAAAACAATTGAACGTGTCAGAAAGAATTAAAACCGAAATAGTATAGAGGTAGTTGTAAAAAATTAATCAACATGAAAACTTGTAGCTTATTCTAAATTGTTATCGTACAATACAAAATTAAATACCTTTGGCGCGTTATACATAATAATCTCTTCTAAAAATACTTTAACTATAAACATTAACAATATTTTGCTTCTTAAATTCATTCTAATACAGCAATGAAAAGTAAATTTCATTTATCACTATTTTGAGAGTAACATGTATATTGTCAATATTTCTTTTTGAAATTTTATTTCATTAGAATTTAAGTATTTTTTTAAATATAGATGATAAATTAAAAAAAAACAAGATTTTACTGAATGAAATAACATTTATAAAATTATTTACTATAAAACTATATATTTTGTAATAGGACACTGCGATTTGTAAACTTGTTCTTCTCGAGGTGTTCAACATGAAGGACGGGTCTTAATTGCTTCAAGTCCACCTTTTTCAGCAACTCTAGATTATATTCTACCACGCGTATTTCACCTAATCCGAACTACCATGCAATCTGTGGTTGTCCAGCGGAAGAGATTCTTGCGTAAGGACGTATTTTTAAAAACACGTTAAAAGGTCGTGTTTCGTAAAGAAATTGTTGATCTTTACGTATCGCTCAACGTTCGGGTGATGCCAAATAATTGTACTCATATTAAAAATTGAGTTTAGCATATGCCGTTTGACCTAAACCAAATTTTTCAAATAGAACGTCTTGTATTTTATCAACTACTAGAGGACTCGAGCTTCTGTGATATTATTGCTAAAGGGCCGACCATACCCGGCGTGAAACGACTTGTCATCGTTTCTTCTTGCGTGTTGTAGTAACCCCTTTGCATCATAGCAGTTTCGTAAAGTTGTTTTTGCATAACGGCTAAAGAAACTTTGTTGCCGATCATAAGCTCTTTCATGGATATCTCTCCCGACAACCTCCTGCCGCTGGAATCTGTCGTACTCACACCGGAATCCGACTTTTTCCGGATTGTTTTTGGCAGGGCAAAGCTCGACCGCCTCCTCGTCCTGTGCTGGATTTTCAAAGAATGCCTCCGGAGCATTTTAGTCGCTTTGTCGGAAGCCCGGCCGCAGTTGTGACAATCGAGCCGGATGAGCATCCAATTCAGTGCTTGTTTAATTACGATAGACGTCACGTTAAAGAGCGAATAGATGAAACAGCAGCCGATCGCCAAAAATGTAAAATTGCCCAAGCGATAAAGCGTGAAATTCGAATCCGGCTCCTGCTGCGTCGAGACGTAATCGCCGAATCCTATCGTAGAAAAAGATACAAAACAGAAATACAGAGATTCCAAAAATGTCCAGCCTTCGTACGCCGTATAAATACATGATGCGATTATTGCCACTAAAACTGAACCGATCGTCAAGCACACTAGAACGAGGTAAACGTTCGGTTTCCAGTCCTCTAAAGGATCCTCGTCGTCCATATTCGTCCCCGCCTTCTGAAGTTTCCTAACATGAAGGTATCCCAAGAACAAAGCTAACAAACTTATAATCCTCTCCAGAAATAAGTTAAAGAAAAGGATTCCTCCTGAACATCCGAGGAAGCCGTAAACGATGACCGCTACTCGACCAGCCGGAGTGTTCGGTGTACTGCTGCCATAGCCTAAAAAAAATAAAAAATATTTAGAATACCATAATTTACTAGTTTAAGCAAAATAAAGTTTAATAATAAAGACCACTATAATGCAGTTTTCTAAATGTTTTTAGTTAGGATATAAAAAACAGCAACATTTGGAAAATTTTGAATAACTGACTTGTTATAGATATTTCTTTAAAAAAATCAAGGGAAAAATATTTGTCTTCTTGTCCTTTTAAATACGTAAAGAAAAACATTTCTTTTTCTGTTGTTTTTTTTTTCACAAAGTTTCGGACACTACGCAGTTATTTATTTTAAAAAATAAGGTCTTTATAAAAATAATGATTTCTCTAATGCACACGTATTGTACAGACTCGCTCGACCAAGGCTAGTTAATAGGTAAAAAGGACAAGATATATTATGCCACGGAATGTGTGAGTTTGAGAGAAAAACAGATAAAAAACGAATCGCAGAGATTAGGTAAGAAATAGACAAAAAAAGATAATGTGTGTTCTTGAGAGAGAAATACATAAATAAAAATGAAGAGATAGATAACGTGATATATAGATAGTGTACGAAGTGTCAACTGTCTAGTGTGGTTTACTAAAAAAGACTCAATATAGAAAAAAAGTGATTTAAAGTGGAATATTTCCAATATCTAACATTTTTGTGAACATATTATCAAATGGTTTTAGAATTTTTTTATAAAATCGAAATTACGAAAAGATCTCTACAGAAGAAAGAAAGAGCAAGAAAGTCAGAGTACTAAGGATAAATATTTATTGAAACATTAATAACCTAAAAAAAAGAGAGTAGGCGAGGCAAAAAGAAAAAGAGAGATAATGACTGTAAGTTTGAAATCGCTAGGAAAGAAAAGGAAGAACAATAAAGTTAGAATACTACAGCTTAAGGGAAGAGAGCATAGGAGAAAAAAGAGAGTGAGGGAGTAAGAGAGGGATTTGTCTGAAAATTTGAAATTTTTATTAGATTGATACATCGATAGATAAGGGAAGGAGAATAGGGAAAGAGAGAGAAGGAGAGAGAGAGAGAGAGAGAGTGAGATGAGTGATAGTGAGACGTGAAGGGAGGAAGAGAAGAGAGTTAAAAATCGTGCTGAAAGTGTAAAATCGCTACGAAAGAAAGGAAGAACAATAGAAGACAGTGAACTACTGATTGATACATTAATAGTTTTAGAGAAAGAGAGAGCAGGGGAGGAAAAGATAAATAGATTCATTGTTAGATAGGTAGGTATATAAATTGATCGTTAGATAAAAGATAGGGAAAGAGAGGGAGTGAGGAAAAGGCAGAGAGAGAAACTGTGTTGAAAGTCCGAAAATTCTGCGGATTTGATTGATGCGGTCTGGTGTGATATAGGTTTCAGAAAAACATTTTCTTTATCGTGCCAATGTTTCGATCTTTATTGAGACCATCTTCAGGGCCTGGGATTTACAAACATTGTTTAAATTTAACAAACACATGTAGGATGTAGAAAAAAGTGAATTTATACAATGCAAAAAATATTTTTTATACTTAATCAAAGTATTTCTACTCACTCAAAGTGCTTGTTTTGTGCGTAATTGTGCCATTCTTGCGTGTCGTGTTGTGAGTGCCAATGAGATATTGCTGTTTTATGTTTATATACGTTGGATTTTGATGGGGTGGGGAAGGAATTTGACTAGAAGAAATTTGAATAGAAAGACATTTTTGTATAAGGCGTCGGCTTCTTTGAGGTGAAAAGAGCCGACGAAAGGAAAAAGTTGGTAATAGTGCCGCCAGATTATCCTTTCAGGATTATATTGACGGGGATAAATAGGAAAAAGAAAGCTAAATTGTTCAAAAGTTAGACTATGTAGAAATGTTTGATGTGTGGAATGTGATGAATGTTTGATATGCTATATTATATGATTTGTGTGATGGGATGATGATATATGTATGTTATGGATATTGAATTTGAGTAATGATATTGGCGTAGCTGCGACTGAGTGTACATGTTCTGTTCTGTAAATGATGCTGTGTTCATCTCGGTTGATGTAAACCATTTCTAAAAAGTTACGTTTATGTTTGTTTGGTTCTGTGTGTAATATTTTTGGATTGTTGAAGTCGAAATTGTCTTTGTGTTCAAAATGGTGGGTAGTGAGTGCTGTAGGATTTTGCTTGGATTTTTTGCTCTCTTATCCAGATAGTGGGATGTAAGACCGATGTAAGTTGCCGGACAGTTTAAACAGTTAATTTTGTAGATTACGTCAGATTTATTTGTTATTGGTGTGGGATCTTTAATTTTGGAAAAGAGTGTGTGAATTGTTTTATAATTTTTGAAAGCTATTTTGAAGTTACCGGAAGAGAGAAATGTGTTTAATTTATGTGATAGGACTTGAATAAATGGCATAGAAATGTATGCTGGTTTGTTTGTATTTGATAGACTTAATGTAGTATTATTAGTAATAGCGGATGGAGTTAGTGTTGATTATTCTGTTAATTATGTGTTTAGGGTAGAGATTGTTATGGAGGATCTGTTTGTATATCTTTATGTTCTTGTGGTGAAATGATTCANCATACGATAATAAACACGGCCAAAGGGTTACTTCACAGAATTGTTACCCTAAGCCATGAATCATTTCACCACAAGAACATAAAGATATACAAACAGATCCTCCGTAACAATCTCGAATTGCTATCAATATATTATCTACGTATTTAGTGAGGAAGGGTAATGTGAAAGGAGTTGGGGTATGACAGTGTTAATAGATGTATCATAATTATGTCTGCAATTAACGGGCCTAGTTGCTACCCATGGCTATGCCAAATAGTTGTTTGTAAAATTGATTGTTATATGTAAAATATCCGTTAACACAGCAATATCGAAACATTGTTATGAACGTGTCCTTTGATAGACTTGTGTGTGGTGTTATGTTGGGCCATTTATCTTTAATAATGTTCATTGTTGTGTCTATTGGAATGTTGGTGAACGATGATGAAACATCTAGAGATATGGGAGAGTAGTGTGACGCGATGTCAATATTATTAATTCTATTAATTAAGGTTTTTAGTTGAGATAAAAAAGTTAATGGCACGAGAGGGATTCGAACCCACGACCTTCGGCTTGATACGCCGTTACTCTATCACGAGCTATCGTGACTTCGATCCCCTCGGACACTAACTTCCCAACTCAACCCCACCATTTGAATTCCACAGCCATTGGCAAAAAGGAGGGAAAATTCAAAAGGTGGGGTTGAGATGGGAAGTTAGTGCCCGAGGGGATCGAAGTCACGATAGCTCAAGTGGTAGAGTAGCGGCGTATCAAGCCGAAGGTCGTGGGTTTGAATCCCGCTCGTGACACTGACTTTTTTATCTCAGCTTAAAACTTAATAAATTGAATGTTATTAATTGGTCAAGCGGACCACGAAAAATAGTGGAATTATTAATTCTGTTAATGAAATGAATCTTTTACGTGAATGTGTTATCTGTGATGTTGTTGAGTATGTTGGTTAGGTATTTTGTCATGTTATATGTAGGGGAATTTACAAATGAAAGTATGGGTCTTAGAGGGTGTTCAGGTTTATGTGTTTTTACAGATCCGTATAGTTTCGGGGGCGTTGGTGAGTTGTTTTGAAGTGATCTGTAGGTGTATATATCAATTTCTTTTTGTTTAAGTATTTCTTGGAGAATTTTGTTTGTCTGTTTGATGAGAGAAGGGGTATGGTCTGATTTGATTATGCTTATGTGTTTGTGTCGTTGATAATTTTGTTAATTTTTTCCCTGTACTCTTTTTTGCTGATTGCTACTGTTTGTTTTGTTTTATCAGCAGAAAGAATGAGTATGTCAGGATTATTTTTGAGAAAATTTTTGGTTTTGGTGTATGTTTGTTGAGATATGTTGAATGGCACACTTAAGCAGCAAACAAATACTTTGAGTGAGTAGAAATACTTTGATTGAATATAATTTTTTTTTTCATTGTATAAATTCACTTTTTTCCACATCCTACATGTGTTTGTTAAATTTAAACAATGTTCGTAAATCCCAGGCCCTGAAGATGATCTCAATAAGATCGAAACGTTGGCACGATATAGAAAATGTTTTTCTGAAACCTATATCACACCAGACCACATCTCACGATTTCTGAATAATCATCGACTAATGGTCTCTAATCACCACACACTTTTTTTCAAATAGCGGAAGATTTACATAACTGCCACCCAAAAAAACATTACTGAATAATATCTTTCCTCTTGCCTTTTCAAATATTACCATACAAACATACACTTTAGCTAAAACATCTAATTTGCTGACTTCAAATGTTTGCTTCTACGCCTGAATCTTACTTCAGGGTCTCTGAAGACAAACGCGATTACTGGAGCTGAATGAAACAAATAAAAAGGACCGTTACTGTTTATTGTCTCAGTGTGTCGGGCTATTTGTACTTCGTCAAATACACTCCCAGAGGCGAAGCGCAGCAATATTTAAAAAGAACTTTCAACGTATTGCCTGACCAGTTATGCGTAGTCTACTCACGTACGCCAATGAAATCGACGATATGTTTACCCTCGTGTGGGACAGCACAAAGAGAGCGAATCGTAAGTTAATACTTACGACGTTAACACGGAACGGATCATGCAATTGCAATGCAATGAGATCGCTGAGAGTCTGTATAACGCACGATCGATTTTTTTTTCAAAGAGAGCGTGAATGTTTTTTTTTACAATTAGTTAACAAAAGTTTAGCCGTAGTGACTTCAGAATATTTCATACATATTCTCTATCTCTATTATAATCAGTAAAAATTCAGAAACTTTATTGAACAACAATTAATAACAAGCTAAAGTTTAAGGGACTTACAATTCTTCTTGGGCAGATTTGAATTTCGAGAATATATTAGTCTGTCTTTGATTTATTGCCATTCAATACTACTTTCTGCCATTCCTGGTTTTATATTTTGTTACGAAACCGTTAGACCGCTACAAGCAACTATGTTTGTCTTTATGAATGAACTGGGATTTGGAGGTCTGTGTAGATAATAAGGTTAGATAGACA